CCACAGGCGCAGTTCCTTGTCGGGCTTTACTGATGATTCGTGCTGAAATGTCTTCGCAGGATGTATCTTCTGCAGGCAGCTTCCAGTATCCCCCCAGCCATTCGATAGTTAGCGACCCAGGTCGTGCCTCCCCAGGCCAAGCTATGTCAGGTTCGGCGGCAAATGGATCCACGGTCTGAGTCTCGAAGCCACTGGAAAGCTCCTCGCTCTCCTCCTCCTCTACTGCAGGTTCTTCCACGCGATGCAAAGAAAAGCCAACGCGCATCGTGGCATCAAACTGTCGACCCTCCTGCTCCACAGGTGCTGAGTGGCAAAGCTCCTCTGCTACGAAGACTGGACATTCATTGGACCACCAATGACGAACTTGCTCCTCAAAGCATCCCCATTTGCATGTGACAGGAAAGTCGGCATCTTGCTCTCGCAACCACTCTCCAACATTCTCTGGCATGGTCAGCAGGCGCTCGAGAGCAATATCCAGATCTGTAGCTTGCACGGGAATGCAGCCAGCGCCTCTAGCACGATTGCAAAGCTTCAGCACGCAGCTACAACCCGAACGTCCAGGATGCCCGTTGTCACTGAGTTGCAAGCCTTGGATTATGCTAGAAGCGAGCATATCATGATACAAGCGCTTGAAACATAGCTGCTTGGGCATCAAATGTGCATAACCAGCTTCGACAAAGAAATCGTGTGTCAGCTTCTTGTTCTCAACTAGAACTGCTCGATGCAGTGTCTCCTCAAGCTTTTTGTCTGCTCTGAAGCTTTCCTTGATGGCTGCACCGTAACCAGAGAACTTTGAGCTTCTGCCATCTCCGGTTTCCAGAACCTTGACACGCTTCTCCAAAGGCAGGCATGGATCATACTTCAGATCAAGAATACCCCAGAAAACAGCAGGGCTCCTCTTGCTCTGCTCTGCTCCATCTGTCTCTTGCTTTAAAGCCGTGTTGCCCAGGGATTCGCCAAAGGTTTTCATCTCCGCCTCCAGCTGCTCCGGCAGATGCTGCACGGCCGTCACCCAGCCGTTCTCATCATACTTCATCTTCGACCCCCCTGCCATGCCGGAGAAGGGGTTCCGGACCTTGCGCAGGATCGGCTGAGAGAAGCGCTCGAAGAACGCGGCCAGCGTCTCTGCTTCGAGCTCGCTACGAGAGCTGAAGGCCAGCACCGGTGGCTTGGACTCGCCGGACTTGAGACAATCCGGCAGCAGCTGCTGCAAGCGTGAGAGGCCCTGAAAATCCGTATTGAGAAACAGAACCAAGTCCGGCCGGATGGGTTGCGTCAGAAACTTCACGCGACTGCCAGACTGTAGTCCAAGATCAGAACCAAAGTAGATTCTCAGCCGATCCTCCCCACTCAAGAAGCCTGCCGCATCCTCAAAGTGCCCCGATCTGGCCACATCCTCACAAGCTGGGTTTCCCAGGACCCAAACTACAACCGGAGGCCGCAGAGGCTCGGGTTTGGACCATGCCTCTCCGGCCGCCTTGCCGTACTCCCTCAGCATCATGTCTACAAATGCCAGCGTTCGTGCATATGAGCTCATCTGCCGTTCCAGTGGTGGCAAGGCCGCATGGTGCGCAAAGGCTAGGAAAACCGACGAAGGTATGGCTCTCACAGGCTGCTTTCGGGGCGGGCGAGCAGTCTGGTCGGTGGCAGGGCCCATCCACACCACAAACTGAAAGGAGCCCAGCATGATGCTGATGTCTTCCAATGCCGATGCCTCCTCCATTGCTCGAACACAGTGAGAGAAGGATTTCAGGCTTCCATCGCCAAAGCCAAATTTGCACAAACTGGGCCGTGATGATCGCACAACCAGCTTGCTGACGTCCATTATCATCTGGACGACATTGGCGATTCCTGTTGCAGAAGGCTCCAGCTGAGTGCCACCAGTGCCACAGCTCTTGAAAATTGCATCAAGCTGTTGCTGCACAGGCTCTTCAGACAAAGCACCCATGACTTGCGCCAAGGCCTTGCCAGCGTCCACGAGGTAGCTGCCACCTTTGGGCATGGAAGGCACAGGAATGCGAGGCCAAACATTCTGAGCTATTCGAAGCCAACTCCGTCTTTGCTCTTTGGGCTGAATTGGCTGAGCCTTGGCTGCCGCCTTGGTCGCTGGTCCTTTGGCCAACGGCTGAGCCCTGGTGTAGCCAGATTCCCGGCTTGGCGACTGCAAAGGCAAAGCTCGGAGATGATTGGCATCGCTCCGATCTAAAAACTTCTGAACCGGTGTTGCAACCATTGCAGCTTCCGGCACCTTGGCACTCTTTGGCACAGCTACTCCGCGGAGGAGCATGTCTTTGCTGACCCTAGCGTCATCATCCAGCGTGACCATCACGCCGCTAGCACGCTTCCCAAGCACCTTGGTGTCCCGGGACAGCACCAGCCCGTGCTGCCCCGACAGCAGCACCTTGAGTTCAGCGACGCGCATATCGGTGTCCACATCCAATTCAAGGGACCAGGTCCCGTGCCCGTTGCCTTCACTCACAGTGCTGATTTGTACACGCATGGCCAAGCGACCATATGGCTTGCAAATACCAGCGGTAGGACATCATTGGACGAAACTCCTCATGTTGCCGCTTGTGCGTGCCCAAATACATGCGCTAATGCTGATCTTTGTGTGACTCGGCTTTGCCATACAAGAGATGTTGACAAAACCCGTACCCGCCAATATGTAACATGTTGCTTCCTTCGCCTCGATTGCCTTACTCCATTTCGTTTACTCTTGGCAGTTCCGCCCTGTCAAAGCCAGTGGCATCGCTTGTCAAGGCACCTTGATGGCCAATCTTCTCCAGGGTACAGTCGAAACTAAATCAGATGTTCTTGGTTTGGGATCTACGTGTAAAGACCGAGTTTCGCCCAGGCTGACAAGACGCAGTTGTCACTGCGATCCTGTGACCCTTCTGCAAGCTTTTGTTCATTTAGATAATTTTATGCCAGCTAGGGTCGAGAAAAACCTGTGGCGTTTGAAAGTGTGACACAGGGAAAGCACTGCACTTGTCGTGGCCCCGCCTGAGGCGGAAAGGGAAATCTGGACATGTATCATGCGATGTGTTGGCATTCGACTTGATGGCTGGAAGGAATAATGGCAAGCTTCAAATCCGACACAAAGGAGCGCATCATCTGCCCAATGATACCACAAGGAAACAAACCTTTTTGCAGGTGCTTTGCCCGTAGCTTTCTCCTCCAAGCATGAGCCGACAGAAAATGAGATCATCCAAACAGAGAGAAGTATTCAACAAATGGGTAGCCAACAATGAACCATTGAAGCCAACTCTCAGCCGCTTGACAACAGGCTTAGTCACTCAGTCGTGAGCATCCTCCACCCACCGTCCGCAGCTTCAAAGCATTTTGACTCGTGGGCCTGGAGTGCAAGGACTCCAAACCATGTCGTTCTTTCTTTGGGGGGGTGGGGCGGGCGACGCAAGCGGGCATCCCTGCTGTTGGCGCGCTGCCCAAAGCTAGCAATTGCAGCTAGCCACGGCTAGCCGATCTCAGCTTCAGCATCCAAGCAATTCAAAGCTGCATGCCGAGTTGTTGAAGCCAGGGAAGAACAACTTGGAACCTTGCAGTTCAGCCCATTGACGGCTAAATGAACTGCCACGCTCCGATATGAGGCATCTTTGGCTCCACTGCTTACAATGGAGCTAATTCAAGCACTCGTGTGCTTCACAGCACTCCGTCGATGTCTGCTGCAGTAGCATATTTAGCTACTGCTGCAGCTCAAGCAATCAAAACAAGGCAAATATGATTCATAGGGATGGTTGATTGACATTTTACCTCCTCTGCCATGGTTGATAGTGTAAAACACAATCTTGCGAACCACGCAGTCCTAATATCAAGCCAGACCGGTGGCATATGATGCGCAAAACAATTCTAAAGCAATCCTCGCTTTTCAGGGCGCCTTTATGCGAGGCACCGTCGGTTTGCTTCCACAGAAACCCAGCTCCAGCCGCAAGTCTTGGGTGTGCGAAAACTAATGTACAGAACGCGCTGCAAGATTTTGCCCATGTCACGTTTTGGCCTTAGGACACAGATGGATGACGCCTCTCGCCTGCCCATTGCTTCTTGCATCTCAGCTACTGGCAATCAAATGGAAAGGAAAGCCTGCCAGGAAGGACGAAAGAACATACGCCTTGCGGTCACCCGGTCACCCGAGCCTTGCCTTCCCAGCCTTCCCACGGGTAGCGCTGGCCGCCCAGCAGCCGTTACTTCGATAACAGCAGCTCTCAAGGGAATCCTCAAACAGAGTCGCAGTGGCGCCTCTTGGAGAGGCACAAACCAAGGCATCGGCCCTTTCTTTCCGGCTTCGTACCATGGAGGCTGTCATCATCTGCCAAGCACTCCGCGCGACACGCCGAAACCAAAAAGCCTATGTGCAAAGAGCGACGGTTTATGCAAGCGACGCGCGGGAAAACACCCTCAACAAAACCACTCTCAACGGAACCATTGCCCTGTGTTCAAACACTGTGTAGATGCCATACTTTGTTCCTTCTGCTTTTCCTCGTTGAACAAGGCCAGGGAGTGCCAAGCCGTTCTCTGCCCGTGAGAGCTGGCCCGAACCCGGGCGAACCCGTTCGTCAGCCCCGTTTCGCTTTCAAGAATGAGAACCGGAGCCAGGCAACTTCCGTGCTGAAGCTGAGGAACAAACTCCATTCAAACGGCCGCAAGCGCAACCGGACGCAGGAAGCAAGGTGCCTCCCGACCTGAGGGCCGAGAAGCTCCGGCGCAAGCGTCGCCATCTGTCCGTCGCGACTTGGCCAAATTGGCCATGGCCATGCGAGGAAGCCCCTCGACGAGATAGCCGAGTACAGCAGATCACCATCCAGGACCCGGCGACAATGCAATGAAGGGATGCCAGGAGCACTGCGGCAACCTCAAGTGGCTCCCCCGTGAGTTTTCGGTTCACCGCACTGGTCTGTGCAACCAGGGAAAGGCCTGACCACTGCCAACTAGGACATAAGCCCAGGCATCACTTCAGGAACTCTAGCCTGAAGCTTTCGGAACCTTCCGGGACCCTATCCAGAAACCTGTTCATGAACCTGACGGAAACACCAATTGCTGACGTTCTGGGCAGTGTGCAACCAAACAGGTGGCCTGGTTCTGGTACAGCAAGGCACAGGTCGCAGCTTTCACAGCTTCCTCCTGGCAGCTTGCGAACAAAAAACATACGAACTTCTGCACACCGAGCAAGTCCTCTGACAGGTGACGCGAACGTACCTCCCACCAATTAGCAATGCTCATCATGAGAGTGTTGACTCAATGTGTGCGCGCGCGCGTTTGCAACTTTGTGCTTCTGCGTGCTGATGCCGATTTCTGTGTTGTGCATGTGCCTGCTCGTGCAAGTGCTAGCGCGTATTTGCTTGTGTGTGGTGCGCAGCACGTGCTTCTTGAATTTGGACTGTTGCGCGCTTGCGTTCACGCACTTGTGCGTTGGTGTAGATGCATGCGCTTGTGTTTTCTTGTTTATGTTTGCGTATGCGCGGGCGCAGTTCTTGTGCGTCTGGGTGTCTCCATGTGTTTGCGTCTGTGTTTGTTCATGTGCGCGCGTTTGGCGTGTGTTAGCGTGTGCGTCCGGCGAGTCTCAGATCTAACCTAAGACCAACAGTCTTCATGCCGGGGCCGCATGGGCTGCTAAGCCTGTCAGCAAACCGAGGAGACAAAACCATCCGGGGATTGATATAAGAGCGCGTGTGTGTGTGTGTGTGTGGCTGCGCATTTCGTAGCTGTGCTCGAGTGTGTGTGTGTGTGTGTGATTGTGGGTGTGGGTGTGACTGTGGTTGTGCATGTTTTTTGTGCGTGTGCGTGCGCGTGCGCCTGTGCATGTGCCTGTGCGTGCGCCTGTGCGTGTGCGTGTTGGTGTGCGTGTGCGTGCGAGTGCGTGCGCTTGTGCGCGCGAGTGTGCGTGAGTGTGCCTGTGTTTGTTTGCTTGTTTGCTTGTTTGATTGTGAATGCTCGCTTGCTTCCTCGCTCGCTCGCTCGCTCGCTTGCTTGCTTGTTTGCTTGCCCGTTTGTCTGCGTGTCTGCTTGTCTGTTTGTCTGTTTGCCTGTTTGCCTGTTTGGTTGTTTGTGTTGTTTTTATGTGTGTGTGTGTGTGTTCGTGTGTCTGTGTGTCTGTGTGTGTGCGTGGTTGTGCTTTCTGTGCGTGCGTGCGTGCGTGCGTGCGTGCTTGCGAGCGTGCGTGCGTGTGTGGGTGTGTGGGTGTGTGGGTGCGTGTGTGTGTGTGTGTGTGTGTGGGTGTGTGGGTGCGTGTGTGTGTGTGTGTGTGGGTGGGTGTGGGTGTGCGTGTGCGTGTGCGTGTGTGTGCGCGTGCGCCTGCGCGTGCGTGCGCGTGCGTGCACGTGCGCGTGTGCGTGTGCCCGTGCCCGTGCCCGAGCCCGTGCGCGTGCGTGCGCGCGTGCGCGAGCGCGTGCGCGAGCGCGTGACGTGCGCGTGCGCGTGAGCGCGTGCGCGTGCGCGTGCGCGTGTGTGTGCGCACGCGCATGCGCGTGCGTGCGCGTGCGCGTGCGCGTGCGCGTGCGCGTGCGTGCGCGTGCGCCTGTGCGTGTGCGTGCGCGTGTGCGTGCGGGTGTGGGTGTGGGTGTGGGTGTGTGCGCGGGTGTGGGTGTGGGTATGCGGGTGTGGGTGTGGCTGTGGGTGTGCGGGTGCGGGTGTGGGTGTGTGCGTGTGGGTGTGCGGGTGTGGGTGTGGATGTGCGGGTGCGGGTGTGGGTGTGCGGGTGCGGCGGGCGGGTGCGGGTGCGGGCGCGGGCGCGGGTGCGGGCGCAGGTGCGGGTGCGGGTGGGGGTGCGAGTGCAGGTGCGGGCGTGGGTGTGCGGGTGGTGCGGGTGCGGGTGCGGGTGCGGGTGCGGGTGCGGGCGCGGGTGCGGGTGCGGGTACGGGCGCGGGTGCGGGTGTAAGTGCGGGTGTGGGCGCGGGCGTGGGTGCGGGTGTGGGTGTGGGTGTGGCTGTGGCCGTGCCCGTGGGTGTTGGTGTGGGGGTGGGAGTGGGGGTGTTTGTGTTTGGGTGTGTGTGTGTGTGTGCGTGTGCGTGCGTGCGTGCGTGTGTGTGTGTGTGTGGTGTGTGTGCTGTGTGTGGTGTGTGTGGTGTGTGTGGTGTGTGTGCTTTTGTGGTGTGTTGTGTTTGTGTGTGGTGTGTGTGCTGTGTGCGGTGTGTGTGGTGTGTTGTGTGGGGTGTGTGTGTGTGGTGTGTGTGGTGTGTGTGTGGTGTGTGTGTGTGTGTGGTGTGTGTGTGTGTGGTGTGTGTGTGGTGTCTGTGTGGTGTGTGTGTGTGTGGTGTGTGTGTGTGGTGTGTGTGTGTCTTTGGTGTGTGTGTGTGTGTGGTGTGTGTGTGTGTGTGCTGTGTGCGTGTGTGGTGTGTGTGTGTGTGTGGTGTGTGTGTGTGTGTGTGTGGTGTGTGTGTGTGTGTTGTGTGTGTGTGTGTTGTGTGTGTGGTGTGTGTGTGTGTGGTGTGTGTGTGTGTGGTGTGTGTGTGGTGTGTGGTTGTTTTGTGTGTGTGCGTGTGCGTGTGC